GAAGGAGAAGCCTGAGAGCTCCTCTGCTTTCCCTTAGTTCTGTATGTTTATTTGGAAGCCTCAAGAAAACATTATAGATTTTAAGGCACTGTAAACACCCGATGACTTCGCGTCCCTCTTTTCTCTCATAATCTTTCGGCATGATGTGTTGTTTTTCCTTATTATTTTACCACAAGACTAAATTTCTGAAAAAAATATCAGCCGGCCTCAGACATATTAAAAAAACAGCACAAAAATCACATATACTGCCTGAGTTAAGAGAGCCAGTACTTCAGCTGTGGAAATTAATACCTGCATCGCACTCTGAGCAACAGGGTTTTGAGGGAAAGGCTCCTTCCCTTCGAGCACACTGCCTGCACACAGTTAAAAAGATGGAAAGCAGCTCCTTGAGTGGCACATGCTCCAGCCCTAGGGGGTGTTTTGAACAGCGTTTTGGTTTGCTGCACAAACCAGTCCCACAAAATACTACACAACACATGGGAACTCTGCGCAGCCGCAGCCCTGGCCTCTCCGCTGATGCCTCTGACACGCGCTGTTTGCCCACCTGAGGCTCATTTCTCCTTTACCACATTTGGTGTACATCGCTATGGCTCACACATGCCGCAGTGTCTCCAGTGTCCTCTTCTGTTTTGTTCTGCTCCTGATACCTACATTTAAAAAATGCAAAGAATGGTTATAGCATCAGGGGGCAGATGTGCCTAAGTCCCAGTTTATCTACTACAAGCAGCTTCTCGTCCAAAAGGTATTGTGTGGATTAATTAAAGGCTTTTTATTGCAGGAACTAAATATTCTGGCATGCCAGAAATGTCCAAGCACTATTATGCTCCACTCAGAGGACCTCTCTTTAGGGACAAAAATGATAATTATATACCCCTACAGTGGGACTCCAAGTACCATTTCAAGCCTTGCCCATAATTACCTGCTCTTTCAGGTTTCTCTGGCAGAAATGGACTTATTTTACCTAGTGAAGTGGATATTGGCTGTCCTGAACAACCAAGTTAGACATACGGTATCAATCACTACACTTGGCTTGACCTCTCAGCAACTGTGCTGGGAAGAGGGAAAGAACGATGAAATTCAGATGAAGCATCTAAAATCCACACTTTCCATGGATTCCCGTTTAAGTCTCCATATAACCAATACATTCACACAGGGCTCATAGCCACAGCTGCGCTCCGAAAGCTGAGGGGAGTTCTGTCCCTGACTTCCACAGAAAGGAGATCGGGCGCCCATAAGCTTTGTGTGCTGAAAACCTGTGCGGAGGTGAGTCCCAGATAGCACAGTACTCTCTGAAAGGGCCAGCCCATGAGATCTCTAAAGCTTGGTTGCCCATGGGAAGGTCACTGCCACAGAGTCTGGCTTTTCTCTTTCTCTCTTTGCCTACGGTTCATGCACTTTTACCTGCAGTGGATATAACCACAGCTGTCCTAGCACAATTTGAGACTTCTTGAAATGCAGATCCTTTCTGGGTGTTCTGTCAAAAACCAGATAGCTGATCTTCATTCTGCTCTGTGCTCTGCCAGAAGATGGGATACTCAGCCCTGTTGGGGCAGGAAAATGCCTCTTGGGTCTTCATACCTGTGGGTTTATGATGACACACGGGAGTTTGCATTCTCCAGCTCAGGCATGTAGGTGAAAGTAACGTTACGCTGCAAGGAGGCTTGTCTCCACACTTTAGCAGCGGTTCTCAAATGTGCCTTGATTCCATCTCCTCAACAACCAATGCACAGGTGAAAGTGGGGAGGGATGAACATGTGGAGGGAAACATGAATCAAGAGCAATCCCATTTCGTTTCCTTCTGAAATATTTTTCCATCAACCAGACGGAAGTAACTGGACAGCTACACAGCAGCACTTATGTTTGCATAACATCACGTTCTCTCCAGGCAACCTGGCCTGCCTTGCATCTTTGTCTTTTTAGCCCACTGTTCATATAGAAAGGCCTCTCTGTGGGCAACCACGTCATGTCGTGTGCTGTCCGAGTGATGATTTTCCTTGCTTTGACATTACTTCTGCAAGACATACGGCAACAGCTCTCCGTCACTAATGTCCATGCGTGGACTTTTGAATTCACGTGCATGAATCCCTTAAGCACCTGTGAAAATGTGAAAACCCAGAGCTTTGCACGTCATGGCAGATGGATCTGAGCACTCAAAAAGCAGATCGACAGGAAGGAAGTATAAATTTTGAGGTTTGTCTGAGGTCTGGTTTGAGACGTGTACCAGCTTAGACACTTCTGAAGGGAATTACATCAGAAGTCCTGTGGCCCATCATCCGCACTCTAAACAATAAGATTCCTATGGTGAAAAGAAGCGTTACTTGAAATGCAAAAGAGGATAAATGTTTGAGGAGGAGGGTGACTCAGACTGCTGGTGACAGGCCTTAATTCACCTTCTGGCTATTAACTGGAAATCTTTCCCGAGCACAGTGTATACTCATGTTTAAATACAAATCATCGATCACTATAGCAACCCCTTTATCACATGAAGCACATTCTAGCTCTGAGATAAAAAAGCACTTTTGAACAGAAATGCGCACGCCCACTCATCAAAGGTGAGGTGAGCGTCCATGTTTTTTATCTTGTTTCATCAAGATGGTTTTTGTTTTAGAAGTAGGTAAAAGATTGTGTGTAAATTGCTCTGTGCATGTTTCAATTGTTTATTTTGATTTTTTTTCTGGCTATATTAGTATCCAAACCGAACAGAAGGAACAGATGCTTCTCTTGGAAGATTTAAAAAGGGAATAAAGAGTCAATATGTATTTAATCAGACTGGTTTTCTCTGTTATTGTTGCTCTAGCTGTATGAAAAGTACTGAATTATAGGTTGGCATCTAGAAATGGAATTTCCATTCTGTGACACGTTCTGACATGGTGATTTCCCCTCCCATCAAATTGAACGTAGTGCTTAATTTTATTAATTTCCAACAGAATAGAATATCCGAAAAGTTAGCATGTTTGACTGAGTTGTTTCGTTTCTGTAATGTAAACAAATGAATTTTGAAAAAATTCCAGTGTATGTTCAAAGTAATGGTTTAAGTTGGGTTTTTTCCTAACCAAGTGAGACCAAAAAGTTTTGTTAATGCCTCAAAACTGACAGGAATGAGATTTAAAAAAACCCTTTGTTTAGTTTTTCACTATGTAGGATTTTCGCTAAATTAACAGTCTCCTGCAGAACACTTAAATATTGATGAAACTTTTTGTTGGAGATGTTTCAGCAAGCGCTGTTTCTTACTAGATTGTATGGGGAATATGACACAAAGTCAAGCAGTTAACTAGCACTGGCCTTTCAAGAAACAGTGGGATCGTTATTTTATAGAGCAACTGCCTACACTGGCAAACACAACAATATTTTTTAAGTGCGGTTGGGATCCCAGAGGCAGTTGAACTCCATTGGAGGTTTTCTTTCTCTTTGCAGGAACATGGTGTGGCGAACAGTGCTCCAGCTCATCACAGTGCTCATGAGCCCATCTGTAAATGTGGTGACCTAGATGTCCTCTTCAACTACAAAGCTTCAAGTAAAAACCTAGTGGTTACTGTCTTGGAGGCCAGGGACATCCCAGACAAAGACCGCAGTGGTGTGAGCACCTGGCAAGTGCACACAGTCCTGATGCCTAGCAAGAAGCAGAGGGGTAAGACAAGTGTTCAGAGAGGACCCATCCCTGTGTTCAAGAACAAAATCACCTTCAGCAAGCTGGAGCCAGAGGAGTTAAGCAGCCATGCCGTTCGTTTCCGCCTCTATGCGGTGCAAAAGATGATTGGAGAGAAGATGATGGGAGAGCAGTTGTTCTACCTGAGCAACATCACCCAGGAAGGGGAAGCGAAGGTGACATTGGTCTTGGAGCCAAGGAGTAATCTGGGCGTAAGTTTGGTGAAAGAAATACAGAGTCCTTGAAATTGTTCGTCTGCTGAATGGGGACCAGCTGTATCTGATACCTTTCATTCAGGGCTGTCAGGATACAACTGATGGATCTGTCCTGCTGTCACATAAGAAGTTAGCAGCAGGGGGAAGCACAGGGCACGTCGTCCCTACACAAAGCTGTGCCTTATTAACAACGGCTCAGCTGGCAAGCTTGCACAAAATTATGTAGATGTGTACTACATCTACACAAGTCACCAAGTGCTGTGCCATGCGGAAATAGTAGGTTAGTCCTGGAACCACCGAGGCTAATTACATCTTAATTTCAACAAGGAAAGTAGTTTGTGCACTGTTATGTTGGTGGGCCTGTACTAGTGCCAGTGCAAGAGCTACCTTATTTGGCACTAGCTCCTAGCTTGTGGATCTCTGTGTTGTCCAGTTTCCGTGTTACCAGAAATGCTTAGTGATGTTCTTTTTCATGACAGATGGAAGTGGAGAGGTGGGTCATGCGAGTAGGAACTGGCTATGCTGCTTCATGCACATCACAGTCGTATCCAGCTCAGGCTATGCCAATCAATTTGTGTAGATGAGCTCTGTCGTGATTCATTGTCTACAAAGAGCTCAGTGAGCGGTCGCGCACACAAAATGAATAAAACATCACACTCTGGGTGAAGAGTGGGTAGAGTAGGCATCATGGTAACAAGGAAAGAAAGTAAGAAAATACGGAGTACCTGACCTAAAAAACCCAAACTGCAAAATGCATTCCATCCAAAAGTCATTGTCAAGTAGATTTACTGTGCATTTGATGTGCTAGTGTGGATGCTTATCTCAGAGGCTTTGACTTACACTAGCGATAACACATTACGCAGAGTTCTTCATCTTTAAAGAGAAAGTTCAGAGATGTGTTCTTGTAAAACTGATGCTTTGATTCTTCTGCTGCCCCATCATAATTCATTCTTAGTCACTGTCATTTCTTAAGAGAGATTCTGCTAAACAAGGCTACAAGATATAAATTAAGGGAGGGTGGTGGTGAATGTCCTGATGAGACTTTCAGTGCTCTTTCCCCGCAGAGCGCGGATTCTCAGCTTAGTCTGTCAGCAATCTCTCACAGTGATAGCGCTTCTTCGACACAGTCCCTGTCGCATGGAGGGGTGCCAGAGCTGCTCGTGGGATTGTCATACAATGCTACTACGGGTCGGCTGTCAGTGGAGATGATCAAAGGCAGCCATTTCCGAAACCTCGCCATTAATAGGCCACCTGGTAAGTACTTTCAGTGCTGTTAAGTAACCGTTGAGTCAAAATCTGCTTTTTATTTTCTTCCTCAAGATACTCAATTATGTCATCTCTGAACTGGGTTTCCTTGCAGAGTATCTGATTGAAAATTAAAAGCGTTATTTCGAATACATGTGCTGGTAAATTTTACAGTGTAATTGGGGGCAATCCTATGAAAATGCAGCTGACGGGACAGTAATACCTGAATGGCTCTTTTATTGCATATACCCTTACAACATCTGCTTATGGCAAAAGTGCTATCATACCCAAGCACAGAGTAATTCTCAGCAGATCCCTAAAAAGAAAGAAGTGCTTTTCAAGTGATTATGTTACCATGTGGCCTACAGAGGCCCTGCTTAGTGCCATCAGGTGTTTCCCTGGGCTGTGCTTTGTTTAGTCCCCTTGCTGTGCTGCTGAGCACTACGTGACCTGGTGCTTTGGGCCCTTTGGGGATCCTGCTGCTGTGAATTCTCCACTGCTGCGCCAGAAAATCTTCTGCAGAAATAAGATGTGAACGTTTTTTTTGTTCTGGGTTGCAGCAGTTGAGTTCCCTTCCTCCAATACCTAAAGGAAAACGTGGAAATTGCCTTACAGTCGGTTCAGTTACTGCTTGAGCTGTAATTAGTCCTTGAGAAGGGTGGTGGATGGACAGTGCTAATGTCCATGATCTAGATGGGGTCATGCAACCGCAGTGCGTGGTGTTCTCTGCTTCGCTGCTGCGGTGCCTCATTCAGGAGTTGAATGGCAGAGCTCTATTCGTCTCATGTTGTCCTTTTGCCTCCTGTCTGAAACCAGTAGCTAATGGCAATGTGAAATAACATTTTTTTTTGACCGTTGGTGTGTTTGCTTTTTGTGATGTGGTTGCTTGCCTGTCAAGGGTTATTACCTTTGACAGTTCCTTGCATTCGCTGGATTTGTCATAGAGTCTCCAGCTTGCAAAATGCTAAGATTGCTTTTGCAAGATACTTTGCTCTTTGGCCCAGAGCTAGCCAAGTATTTATGTAATATCTCAGTATATGGATGTGAAAACTTAAGTTTCGACTAAACCATGCTTCAGTATATTACAGAACTCGTGTGTCATCAGTCAGTCCCCCAAGAATTAAGGGCATGTCTGTGCAGCAGTAAAACACGTAACTTTGGTGTGTGCAGCCCTAGCCCTAGCTAGTCTTGTATTAGCTGTGGCAACACAGCCTTCCATGTGAGTTACTTATGTACTTGCAGAGAACATGTCTTTGTTTTATTAAAAAGTTACAAGCTGGGACTGTTTCAGTAGTTTAAAGCAAAGGTAGACTAAGACAAGTATCTTACCACATGGTCTAGCAACCAGGCTTGCCTGTGCTTATATCTGCTGTAGTGTAGATACATACTGAAGTTTTATTCTCAGAAATGAAATTAAAGTAGTACCAGTATAGGTTGACGTTAATTTACTGCAGTTTTTTCTGGCATGTATCTACATGTGGTATTGGAGTTTGGTCTTTTAGCTGCCTGGAGATGTGGATCATGCAGCACTTCTGTTCTTGAATCAGGCCCTCCACAAGTTGTCTTGTATCTGGCTCGCTCTGGCGTCTGTAATGCCCCACTCTTTTCCCATGAGTGAAATGTCTTCTCTGCATAGAACTGCAGCTTACTGCTTGCAATATTGTGAACAAATTACTGACACTTTTTGGTATTCTAATAGATGTCTTTCTGTGAGCATGTTGCATAGCTGTGTGTGTCGCAGTAAGCTGAACAACTGTATGTCTCGCTGTCTGCCAGTGCTGGGCAGTTGTGCCTGCCCTGGGCCCCGGGTGGGATGAGTTTCAGCAGACAGGCTGCGTGTGCACAGCTTGGCTGTCAGCATGGGAAGTTCTAGCTGCAATAATTTCCACGGCCCATTCAGCTTTTTAGCTGGTAGGTGCACAACGGTGCAACAGCTTGGTTGGCAGCATCTTTAAACTTGATAAGCATTTTGTGCTTGTTGATGAGATGAGACCAGGAGTAGGGTATGAGAAAAGGAGGCATTCCTTGAGAGACCTTTCATTTTAAATTCTGCCTGAATTTTCCATTTCTGTGTTTGTAGGGATTCAAATAAACCTAGTTTAATAGGTTTGATAAACTAGCCAAAGTCTTCTCTCAGCTACCTAAGCGAATACTCCTGAGATAATTTCCTAACAGTTCTTCCATCTTGGCTGTTAAGGCTTTATCTTGAGTTGTTTCTTTGCATCCTTTCTGTATCCAGATCAACTTTAGCATTGTTAGACCAGTATCTCTCAGAGTCAGATCAGTTTTCAGATGAAACATGGAAATTAATAAGTGATTACAAGCAAATTCCAAGCCTATCACAATCTGCTGCCTTTATTCCAAGTCACATTGTTTCTTCTGCATTCTGCATTGTTCTTCTGCGCTTGTAAAGTCCCCAGTAGTGTGGTGAGAAAACAAAAACTCAGTGGCGCAGAAATGGAAAGAAGTTGAAAAGAAGGAAGAAAACCTGGACGTGTCTTAGATGCTGGAACAGCATTTTGCTGATAACTCCTGCAGGCCCTGCAGAGGAGTGCTGTGAGTTCCCATCGTTACTGTCTGAAACGTGGTGGTGGCTGGCTGAATGAGATGCTCAATAAGTCCTTCTCTAGGTGAAAACTGAAACTGCTGTCTCCCTTTCTGGGGGGATGGAGCAAATAGCCCTTGTGTTTTCTCAAAGAAGTCCTGTCTGCAGTTCTGTTGTTTGAGGCTCCGGGGGAGTGATTTATTTCTTTGAAGTATCATGAGGATTTCAGACACAACAACGCTTCAGGACACTTTAATACCAAGCCTGAACTGCAATTCAGGGCAGCCATTTATGGCAACACTGAGAGAAGTCAATGGGCAGGATCCATCTCCATTGCCAGCCCTGCATGCACAGAGCCTACACCGTACCCATACGTGGTCCTGTCCAGGCCAGTGCCTTTAGTGTTGTTTGCTGCTCACAGCTATGGGGAATGTTGGGGGAGTGTTGTCCAGCAGCAAATTCTCCAGCTGTGCTTTTTGCCTTGCCCTCTTCTCTGCCACCTGCAGCATGCGTGCTCCCTCCTCGGTGTCCTTGCACTGGGATTTCACTGTGTGCAGAGGAAGGCGGTGGACTGGGGCATTGGTGATTTTAGGTGTTAGAGACTGCAGAGGTTCAGACAGATGGTTTTCTGGAGAAGGAAAGGAAGGCTGTGCACATCTTGTTTTTTCCTGAGCACGTCTTCTCCTTCAATTCAACTTTTAAATGCGATGCAGAAAACTGAGTCAGGTAAATATCAGTATCATGGGTGCTTACATGGATAATAACTGGGTTAGGAAACAGACTTACAGAGCTTACAGAGACTTAAATCTCGCAGGTAGTGTCTTCTTTTCAAGTCATGTATGTGGGTTTTAAGGATAGTTTGGTCAAGGATAAGTGTCCAGGCATTTTTCTGGGGGACATGCTGAGTTACAGGCCTAAGTCTGCAATCCCTGATCACGGAAATAGATCCATTATCACTCAAAGCACTTAAGTGCACTCAAGAGTATGGCTGCAGCATCGGACTGTAAATTATCAGTGTGTGCCAGAAAGCCTCATGCAGAATAACATCTATGGGTTTGTCAGATGTGGACACCCTGGGTATTCCAGGGCTAATGGTTTGTGTGCTGTGCGCCTCATTCTCTTTGGTTTTTGCAAAAATCATTAACCTGTGCTAGCATTTTGTGGTGGTTCATATTTTGGTCTGTGCTATTATATATCCTTAGAACAAAACACAGTGTGTTCGTTTAAAGGATGTTTACTGTAAAAAAGGAGCAAGAGAAGCCTGCACCACTGACGGACACGTCTTTCAGAATTTATAGCTGGTTATGTACTACGTGCGTTTTAGTAGTACCTTGGGACTGTGGTGATGGACCAGGAACCGTGTGTGCTCAGTGTGTAAACACACAACAGAGAGATGGTGTCTGCCCACATGATGTTTAACCTTCATCAGCTGCTCTGCTGGGTGCAGCTCGCTCTCCTCTAATCCAGCCTTCGCTCTTTCCCCTTTTGGATTGCTTTTGGGTTTTATATCTGTGTATAGTGCAATTTGAGAAGGACTGTTGTAAAGATATTCCCTTGCCTAGGAAAAGTCCTCCAAGCTTTTCAGCAGCTGCGGAATTAATCACACATAATAATCACATCCATGCATGATCATTATTATACCAGCAGCATATTAACCCCATTAAACAAATACAATAGCATTAACACTGGAAAAAGACAGGAGGGAGAGAACAAGCTATCGAGATTTCTATTTGGAAGAGGAGAAATTCATGAAGTAAAGACCTGTCTGAAAACAAATATCTACCTGAGCCACAGATAACAACGCCAAGAAGTGCAGAAGATGCTCCCATAGAAGAATCAGGATCCTTACGCAGTATTTGTTGCTCTGGTATCAAAATGCTGGAAAGCCATTAGAAGATTTTATTTTATCAGCTTGTTTGTGAGGGAAGGGAAGTTGTTTTCCTTGTTTCATTGCTGGAGAACTAAGGCACAGGTACATTTCTTCAGTTGCTCCCAGTCAGACCAGGAAGCCAGTTGGTCACAATAAGCTTGTACAAGACCATCTCTCCTTCTGCACCTTTTCGTTGCCCATTCTTGAACGTAGCTTGAATAAACTTACAGTAAGATCAGCTGATAAAGCGTTGCTTAGGGTCGTAAAGATGAAGCTGGGAGCCCCAGAAGGATGTCTCAGTAACGGGCAGTTAGGCAATGAGGTGGAAGATGAAGTGTGGATGGATGTACGGTAGGGGAATGATTAGGATGTGAAAAGCAAGTCACAAAATAATGGTCTTTTAAGAAGTGATTGTGAGATATTTGTGGGGAATGTTCCATGATAATTAGACACCCAGTGATAGCGTGTAGTTATCCAGTAATTTTTTCAATAGTTTTGTATTTCTAAAAGGTCTGTGCAAAGTATAATCCATGTTACACTTGCTGAGTATTACATGAAGATATTTCTGAACCAAAGGCGTGTATTTGAAGTGGA